AAAAACTTGGACCAAAATATATAGGACCTTTTCCAATTAAAAGAATCATAAATCCAGTAACAGTAGAATTAGAATTACCCAAAAATCTCAGGCAAATACACCCAATTTTTCATTGCAGCTTGCTGAAAAGAGAGCATCAGTCACCTCTACGGCCAAAAATCCCCCCCCACCACCTCCAATCATGGTGGAGGGTGAACAACACTTCGAAATAAAGGAAATCCTTGACTCTAGGAGATATCATGGAGCAACTCAGTACCTAGTTGCCTGGAAACACCTCCCTGCCTCACAAAACGAGTGGGTCCTGTTTCGAAAACAAGTCCGTGACCATCCAGACCACAATATTCCCATTGCTTTCTGGCAATTCCACTATAAAATCCATGGCTATTTCTCTCCAGGGGGCTGAGGGATTTGCCACTGTTTGTAATAGTCCTGGCGATTTCCCTTGCAACCTCTTTGCAGTGGCACATTTTGGGCAACTGGCTACATAACTTTCTATGTCCTTTTTTATTGATGGCCACCAAAATTGCCATTTAATTAAGTGTAAAGTTTTTACAAATCTAAAATGCCCTGCTGATTTTGTGTCATGGCAAAGCTGCATGAAAGTGACTGTTTGGGTTGTTGGTATATATAACTTTTCCCCTACCCAAGGCAACCCGTCTCTTATTGTGCACACGTTTTTTTTTCTGGAACCATTCGTCTATTTCAAACTTTTTCTGAATTCAATTCCAGTTTCTCTGTCCAGTTGTGGTTTTAATTTAGCTTGGGTTCTTGTGGTTACTGGTGCTGCCAGTTGTGACTTTGCCATTATTGGTTTAGAGCAGTGGTTCTCAACCTATGGGTCGGGACCCCATTTGGGGTCGAACGACCATTTCACGGGGGTCGCCAAACAAGGCTCTCCGCCATTTTTTCCCCCTTTTCTTTGGCCACGCCCCTGGCACCCGGTGATGTATAAGTGGTTGGGGGTCACCACAACATGGGGAACTGTATTATGGGGTCGCGGCATTAGAAAGGTTGAGAACCTTTAGAGTCAGTGGTTCGTGCGCTATTATATTTTGGCATGCGAGATGTGCATCTGCCAGGAAGTTCTTTCTCCCTGGTAAATGTTTAAATTGGAACTGGTGAAAATGCTGGGACCAGCGGGCTTGTTTGGGATTGAGTTTCCTGGGCATTTTCAGGGCTTCCAAATTTTTGTGATCAGTCCACACCTAGAAGGGGATTTTGTTGCCTTCCAGGAACTGTTGCCACGTGAGTAATGCCCAACGTATCACATATGCCTCCTTCTCCCATACGGGCCAGCGCTGTTCTGTTTCTGTGAGTTTCTTGGATGTATATGCACAGGGTTGCAATACTCCATCATCGTTTTCTTGTAATGGAACAGCCCCCACTGCCACATCACTTGCATCTGCCTGTATTACGAAGGGCTTGTACATGTCTGGGTGTCTTAGTACTAGTTCAGCAGAAAAAAGTCTCTTTAGTCTCTCAAATGCTGCTTGGCACTCCATTGTCCATGTTAGTGGCTGGCTAGGTTTTATTGAGGATGCTCCCTTCGTTTTTAGTAAGTTAGTGAGGGCAAGGCTATCTGGGCAAATGAGGGGATGAATTGGCGGTAAAAGTTTGCAAAGCCCAGGAAACTTTGTAGTTGCTTTCTTGTGCGGGGTGGTACCCAATCTAATACTGCTCTGGCCTTCTCTGGGTCCATTTCAATGCCCTGGGGGGATATGCGATAACCTAGGGAGTCTATCCTTTCCTGGTGGAATTCGCATTTTGAGAGTTTGGCATATAGGTGGGCGGCTTGCAGTTTCTTTAAAACCGCTCTGACAAGGTTGACATGTTCCTCTTTTGTTTCAGTGAAGATAAGAATGTCGTCCAAGTAAACAAGGACCCCCATAAACAGGTGCTCCCTTAGAACGTCATTGATTAATTGCATAAAGAGTGCAGGGCCCCCTTGTAATCCAAATGGCAAGACTTTGAATTGATAACACCCCATGGGGCAGTTAAATGCGGTCTTCCATTCGTCCCCTTCCTTAATTCTCACGCGATAGTAAGCTTCCCTTGGGTCTAGTTTAGAAAAAATTTTTCCCTTTCGAGAGGTGTGACAGCATGTCTTTCATGAGGGGCAGAGGGTATAGGTTGCTTTCACTGATTGTATTCAGGGCCCTATAATCCACGCATAAGCGTAAAGAGCCATCCTTCTTCTCTCTAAAAAGGACTGGGTCAGCCACTTTAGGTTTGGCTGGCTCAATGAAACCCCTCTGTAGGTTTTTTTTAATGAATCTTTTCATTTCCTCCTTCTCCTTTGGGCTCATGGAGTATAATCTGGGTTTCGGGAGTTTTGCCCCAGGCTTGAATTCAATGGCACAGTCTGTGGATTGGTGGGGGGGGGGGAGCTCATTCGCCCTCTCCTCACTGAAAACTTCAGCAAGGTCTCTGTATTCTTCTAGTATTTCTGTTAGTCCCTTTTCCTCTCCCATGGATGCTTTTTCTATTCTTGATTCTGGTAGCCCCCCTTCGGGTTTTAAGTCCATAGGGTCCCCCTTCGGGAATTTGATTTCTGTCATCCTCCAATTTACCCAGGGGTTCCATTTTTTCAACCATTCCATCCATAGAATCATTGGGCATTCCATGCCTGGGGTCACCATAAACGTTATGTCCTCTCATGTTTGCCCAGAGAGAGGTGTATTGGTAGAGTGGCTAGGGTAGCTGGCACCCCCCCTGCTATGGATCCATCTAACTGGCCAAATGAGATTGGTTGTTCCAGTCTCCTCGATGGGATGCCCAGATTCCCCACTAGTGTTGTGCTAATGAGGCAGTGGGTGCAGCCAGAGTCTACTAAGGCTTTCACCTTCAGAGCTTCGGGGATGGGGGGAATTAATATAGTCACTGTCTTGAGGATGGGTGCGAAGTGTCCACTTACCAGGGGTTCACCCTCCGAGCTGTCATCTGAGACGTCCACTGGCCCTGTGGTGTAGGCTGGAGTTCTTTCCCCATGATGAGCAGAAGTGGGGGGTTCTGCAATTTCCATCATTCTCATGGCAGTTTCTTTTGGCTTAGCTGAAGACTTTCCGGATTTGCTGATTGGGGATCTGTCTGGGTTGTGCTGGGGGGCTTTGGAGCGGCATTCTACAGCCCAATGCCCTTCTCTTCCGCACTTGAAACATCCCATTTGCTTCTTGGCTGTAGCCGATGGTTTCACTGGTTCGTGTGTCAACTCAGGCGGGGAGCGGCTCCATTGTTTTCCTCGGCGGTGTCTTTTCAATATGTCGATCTCTGCTTCCTCTGCCAAGATGTACCATTCCTCAAGTTGGTGTGGGTCCCCTCGGGGCAGGCAAGCGTCATATCGATCATAATTTAGTCCATCTTTGAAATGGCTAAGGAGGATGTCTTCTGGCCAGTTCAGTTTGCTGTCAATGGCCCGGAATTCTTGTGTATATTCAGCCACCGGGCGTTTGCCTTGCCTCATCGTTTTTATCCTTTCGCGGGCTTTGCGATCAGCCAGGGGATCTTCAAATCGTCTTCTCAGAGAGGACATGAAACGGTTGAAGTTGCTGAGTTCTGAGGCATTGGAGTCATGTAAGTTCACCACGCAATCTGCAGCCGGTCCATCCAGGGTAGATTGCACGATCCAGATGCGGGCTTTGTCGCTGGGGATGTCCTGCCCATATTCTTCCATATAGCTGAGGACTTGGGTTAGGAAAAACCCCAAGCGTGTTGGCTCCCCTTTGAATTTCACCTCCAACGGCAGACGTCTTGGAATGGATCGTTGCCTCCATTGTTGGTGGTAGTGTCTTCCGTCCAGATCGCCATCTGTGGTTCGGTAGGGGGTGGGGACTACTGGATCATCAGATGTCCCCGGGGCTGCAGGTTCCACTTCCCCCTCGGTGTCTCTCCCTTTGCGGCTCCAGGAGCTGGGGCGGCTGTAGGGCTCAGGATTCTCCTCTCCTAGGGAGCTGAGAGTTCTCTTCATCAGGTCAATAGCTTTCTCTAGGATCCAGTCCGAGTACGGTGCCCAGCTTTCTCCCTCTTCACTTGCGCGCAGTGATTTCTCCATCTCCTGCTTCCATTCTGGTTGCTTGGGCCCCCGTCTCAGCGTCACCTTTCTTGATTCCTTTCCCCACTCACTTTTCTTCCCAATGCCCATTGACCAGCGAGGCTTGTGGTCCCGTGTCTCCACCACTTCTTCTCCTGAGGACTCTGACCTCTCGTATCCCAACATCTGGCAAGGTTCCAATTGGGTCAGCGGCTCTCTTTCCAGGGAGTTTTCCCCCTGTCTTGCTCCATTGTCTGACATGGTAATTTTTTGCAAAATCTCCCGGCAAGAGTCTCCCTTCCAGGTGGATTAATTTTGCAAGTCCTGTCTAATGTAAGGACCCACCCCACTTTGCATCTTAAGAAGACAGAACTCTTGGAATAATTCTTCCAACAGGAATCCTTTATTAAGAGAAAATGGTTGCAGGCGTTCTAGACAGGACTTGGGGTCCAAGCTCTCCCATTCAAGGTTTTAAGGGGTTTCCCAATAGCCCCACCCAATCACCCCCTACTTCCAGCGACAGTCTCAGGCATTACATTCCCACCCCCTTTTTTCTTACTGCCGGCTGGATGGAGACTTCAGAGAAAACTACATGAAAGGTAATAGCCCCCTTTGTTATGTTTAGGCCTTTTTGGTGCTATCCACATTCAATCCCTTTGAAGTTGTACCAAAGGAAGTGAGGGCCATAAAGCCCCTTTGTTCACCCCCTCCCCTTCATTGTATGACAGAATCCAGAGAAGGCAGAAATGGGGTTTTCTATAATTGATAACTAGAGATGAAATATAATTGGATTCTGACACTAGGGAGATAATTTTATTTGTATTAATGGAATTGTTTTAATATCAAACTAAAAACTTGTTAAGAATTATGCATAGGAAGTACAACTGTGAGTCTTCAAGTGCAAGTATTGCTTTGGGAAAAACCTGAAACTACAGAGAAAATAATCGAAGTCATGTTCAAATAGCTTGCTGACCTTGATGGATTCTCCATGTGGTGACATCACTTCATTGGACAGAACCATCATTTTAAGTGCCATTAGTGCAATCTGAATCGCATGGGTCTCATTTTCTTTATGTAAGCCTCCAGCTACACAATATGCATCTCCAATGGTTTCTACCTAAACATTAAAATGAACAATTTATAAGATAAGAAAATTAAAAAAGGAAATTCAAAAGTTTGAAATGCTTTTGTCAACCATATTCTTTCCCAAACCACTCACTATTCCATTCTTTTAGTCAAAGTAAATAGTTCTGTTATGCAATCTATCACTGCCAAAGATTTTTGCATAACAAAGTCTGATTCATTTTTGGTAATTCTTCTTTCTAATAACAATGTTCTGTCAAAATATTTATCCTGAATTCTACTTCAAGGCACTATCAGCAATCCCAAAGTACTTACTCATAAATAGTGTCATTGAGATCAATATATTAATTTCAAGGTAAATGTAAGAGAGATTGCAGTCTAACGCATATAATTTCCCATTTTACAGCTAAAGCATCAATTTCTAAGTTACTGGTATATTATGCTTCCTAGTTGATTATAACTACAGTTTAGCTGCAAATAAACATGCTCCATTATATATGTTTTAAACCTGTTATAATTTTGAATCAAAAGAGTTCTTCAAATCCCATTCACTTTTGTAATAATTTCTCTTGGAAAAACTATTCTTTACCTTGTAGATATCCAATTCTCCACACTGATAATCAAAGCGAGTGTAGAGCTCATTAAGCATGGTGATAACCTGCATGGGTGAACACTGAGAACAGATTGCAGTGAATCCTACGATGTCAGAAAAAAGCATTGTGACATTATTAAATTTCTTGGCCTGTACAACTTGTCCTTGCCATAGCTGCTGAGCAACCTCCTCAGGTAAAATAGAGCACAAAAGATCAACTGTCTTTTTTTTCTCTTCTTCAAGAGCTTGATGAGCTTGTTCAAGAGTTACTTTAAGCTTCCCTAATCTTTTCTTCAATCCATCTTGAGCTCTGGCTTGTTCACCTATTAAAACAACATCCCTAAGTGCATTATGAATTGGAATATCTGAAAGATATAAGCCACGTCCTGTGAAATCTTCCAGTCTATCCACACAAGGAGATCCCAAGAACAAAATGGCATTAGATTCAATAATGTAAATCATTTGTCCTTTAAGATCCATAACCTAAGCCAAGAGAGAAAAAGGAGGCAATGAGAGAATTCTGAAGCTACTTAACATATACAAAGATAACAAAAATCAACTTATTTACTCTATGGTATCTATCTACATTCCAGACAAACTGATCTGGAGTACCTTTTCTCCATAATCAGTTCTGTATTTAATAGATTTTTTACTTTCTGATGCCTATATTCCAGTGGTGGCAAACCTATGGCATGCATGCCAGAGGCGGCACTCAGGGCCCTCTCTGTGGGCATGCATGCCATACCCCCGAGATGGCAACCGTCCCTCTTCAACCAGCTGCCTGCTAACTTGCCGAGGTCCCATGTGGCCAGATGCATCCCAGCACGGCTGGTTTCCGTCCCTCCCATCCTATCCCTCCTGGCCTCACATGCTCTCCTTTTCCTGGGCATGACCCACTACATCACCTCCTCAGCTGTCGGCTGGCCGTTCAGCTCAGAGGTGGCTTCTCTGAACTGCTGGCGGTGGGTTGCGGAGCCCCAGAGTGCACCGGTCAAGGGGCTGACTGGCTGTGGCTGCTGATGGACACTATCGGCCCCCATGCGCTCGCTGGCCGCTGTGTGCGGGGGCTGATAGTGTCAGGCAGCAGCCGCCCCGGCCCCTGCCTCGCCTTGCCCTGCAACAATGGCACCCCTGCCTTGCCTCGCCTTGCCTCTCCTCACCCCACAGGACAAGCCTCCTGCTCACCGCCCCACCTTCCAGAGACCCCCTGGATCTCCCCCAACCCTGCCCGACCTCCACAGGCGTCCCTCCCCACGAGCAACATCAAGGAGACCATGCCCACCTTGGCTACACCCACCCAGTCTGCCATGACCACCACAGCCACAACCACCCACTGGGCCATGCCCACCTGGCACCCAGTGATAAATAAGTGGGTTTTGGTTTGCAGTTTGGGCACTTGGTCTCTAAAAGGTTCGCCATCACTGCTATATTCTATATTTTTTATCTTCTGATAAAATGTGTTTTTCAAAGTATCTCTAGATTCTTGCAATTTTCATCAAGATGAACGTCATCTATTAATCTGAAGAACTAACCAATGCTTTTCACAAATGCATGCAAGAACATCTCCCACTTTTGGAAAATCTATTGTACTGAATAAAAATGAATATGCATAGAGGAAAGATACAGATTCAAATAATTAACATGTTTCTCTCCTTCATAAATTCACAGTGAAGAGAATTAAGTGAAAACTTAAAAAGGTGGGGTAGATCATTTACACAAATCAACTGATAGGCTTGGTTCATTCATTATGATAAGCCATAATCTGATTTGTTTTATGAACCATGCCACTGTAGGCTATGAACCATGGTTGGTGGCTTATTTATCTGAAAAAAAATAATTAAGCAAACTGTAGCTCACCATAATATACACAAATTCAATCATAGTCTCATACCTTAATTAAAGAAAAAAAGATATAATGAAGAAATGAAGAAAAAAGATACATCCAATTCTTACCCCAGTTGACTTTTTAAGAACTTTGTCTCCTTGTCTCACTCTTATATTAAACTGCATGTTCAGCATTGTCATGATCCCACTAAATGTGCAATTTATTTTAGGAGCTAAAATTTCAAACCACTCATGAAACTGTGGCTTTGCTTGAAATTCTCTTTTGTTTAATAGTCTCCTGATGCCATTGCCAAATTGCAATATAACCATGCCCTTGTCAAACATGCAATGGAAAGGAAACGTTTTACAGAACATAGAAGTAGGAATGACAAGAGAAGATTGGGGTTTACAGGGTGATAGTGATGGCTTTGTGCTTTTGACATGCACAGAATATAATAAATAAGGTTGATCAATAAACTCAGAACTGTCTTTGCAGAAGCTGGGTGGCATTACCATTACTTCCACCTCCATGTCATACAAAATGAGAGCTGCTGCCTTAATAATGCCAGACAGAATGAGTGTGGTTGGTTTTTGGGGGGAAAAATAATATACATTTAAAAAATTGGGATCTTTTTCCAAGCACAAAATTGAGACTTCTTCAACTCTGCCCATTTTTCCAGCTTCATGGCAATGAGAGCTCTGCTTCAGAAGAGTACTGAAACTGTTCAAAAAGTCTTTCAGACTTCCCCCAACAACTCCAAGGATGTGTTCATCTTCTTCATAACATATTTTGAACAGCTCTTCACCAAGTGATTCTCTTATAACAGTGACTGGAATTCCTGCCAGCATAAAACATTTTGATTACCAGTATTGTTCTAAATACAGTCTCTAAATTCCCCTATTCAATGTGCAGTTGATTTTCAATGTACATTCTTTCATTTACTTTATTTAACCCTGTTTTCTATTACTGAACACTTCAGATAAATAACTATTTTACATCATCTCTACAGTTAGTTTTTCTCTCCTGACACCTTGTATAACTGAAGCAAAGTATTATTTTTCTTCTTCTAGCTTTTTTTTGTAAAAATATGGTGAGCATTTATTATTGTAACCACCAACAAACTTTGGGATGTAATTGCTCTACTAAAAATTACTATTGGTACAAGTGGAAAATATAAAATGGGTCACAGAGGGATCGTTAACCCTTTTCTAAATTTAATCTGTTTATAGCCATTTGGCCTTCTGAAATGAGAAGGGTAGAGATGCAAATGACGAATGACTGAAATGAAAAATCTAAGGATAAGAAAAAATAAACTGCTGCTTTTTTTCTACTAATCAAGGGAACAGATTCTACAGATTTGGAGTTTTGTCTTTGCAGCTTAATATTTAATTTGAATTTGAGATTATCTGAGATAACATTTAATTTGATGTTTTCCGCAGAGAGACAACATCAGAGGAGAACTGCATTCTAATCTTTTATTCAGGGAACTGTTTGTGTGCGCATATGTGTGAATAACAAAAGAAGAAGAAGAGGACATTTGGGGGAATGAGCTATGGTTTAGAATTTTTTCCTGTTAGGGAACCAAACTAAGGTCCTATTGCTATGGCAGAAGAGAGGGCAAAACAACAGATGTTTTTCTTTCCTATTTTTCCTTTTCCCCCCTCAAATTGTTTTCCTCATACTAGTAATAAAGAGAGTTAAATAAATCACCTCAACTTCAGTTGTGGAATAGTTGTTTCCTATTTTGTTTTGAAGCCATGAGTGGACAGTCAGAACTCACTGGTTTTATCAGTGTGATAAAAGCAATGTTGCTATATTTGATGGCAAACTCCATCCCTTTGGGTATGGATGCAACATCATAATGCACATCAAAAAGCGGTGTTTGTTGAAATACCACAATGGTGCTATCTAATCCTCTTCCCCATCACAATCACCCCAAGGCCTGGGAAGCCCTGCTATAATCTTTTCCATATTTCTAATATTTTCTTTTTATAACATTTTATAACATTTCCTTGGAACTTGTTGGGATCAAAGAATCAGGCTATCCATGCAAGTTGGAACATAAATGATTTATTGAAGCCTATACACAAGAATATGGTCAACTATCAGCAATAAATTGGCACTGAGTTACAGAATTCAAGGGAGGATTAGACTTGTACAGGTAGTCCTCGATTTACAATTATAATCAAGCCCAAAGTTTATGTTGCTAAGCGAGACAGTTATTAAGTGAGTTCTGCCCCATTGTGAAGTCGGTGACTGCAGCTGTTAAGATAGCAACATGGTTGTTAAGTGAATCTGGCTTCCCCATTGACTTTGCTTGTAAGAAAGTCACAAAAGGTGATCACATGACCCTGAAACACAGCAACCACCATAAATATGAGTCAGTTGCCAAGATCTGATTTTTGATCCCATGACCATGGAGATGCCGTAATGGTTGTAAGTATGAAAAATGGTCTTAAGTCACTTTTTTCAGTGGTGTTCTGACTTTGAACGGTCACTAAATGAACTGTTGTAAGCCGAGGACTACCTGTATCTCTCGTGGTAACGCATCTAAACTGATATACATTTTACTCTGCCCCATCCTCCCTATTTTTTCTGCTCTTCTCCTTAAAAACTCCTGGAAAAAGGTTTGTGAGATTAAATAGTTTTGATTATACATGTCTCTTTCACTACAGTGAGAGAATTAGTTTTAAAAGGAATGTCCTTGGGATTGTAGCCTAAGCAATTTATTATTTGTACTGTTCTATGCTGCCAAGTAATTTCATGGAAGGCAACATTCTTTTAAATAACTAATAGACAACAACAACCGCAGGCAACTCCACTTAAGGAATAAATTTTTTAGCAGGTGTTCTTATTTGTAATGAACAAATTGCATGTATGTATGTATGTATGCATGTAAAATAAAAAGGATCTTTTGGATCTTCTAATCACTACATACTTCTTTTGTTAGACAATCAGATTATTTCCTGAAGTATATGCATCCTTGATACATTGTGTTTTATACTCTCCATGAATTTTATCTACTGACCAACAAGATATCCACAGAATAATGAAAATATATCAAAAGAGGCAATAAACAGAGGAGAAACAATTGTGGTGGGAGAGAAAATAGAATCATTTTTTTAATGATCCAATATTGGCATTTAAAATTGGGGGGAACGGCATTTCTCTGTTCCCCATGATAAAATTTTATCCAACATATATCAGGAAACCTTTTATCATAAAAAGTAGAGTGTAAATGTCTTAAATACATACATACATACATTACATACCATACATATACATATACATGGTTAGCATTATTGACAATTTTATGCCATGCTATCAGAATATAAGGGACATAAACTCAGCTGTTATTATTGTGATTATCTGCCTGTTCAGTTGCATGCCTTCCTTTTTATAGTAAGACATTAAAGAAGACTCTATGTCATTAGTAGTCTTGGTACAACTCAGGTTATTGGGGATACTAAATAAACTGATTGTAGTGTTAGCACTTGCTATTCATAAATATATAATTACCAGCCAAATTTGCATGATCAGTGAGTAGCTTCTCAAAATCTTTTTCCCCACACTGTCTGTAAAGGAAGAAAAACACAATTTTAAAACTGCAATTGTCTAGTAAAGATTAAATAAAACATAAATATACACAGTTAATAAAACAATAAGTAATATATCAGAGTTTAAAGTATAATGCTTATTCTCAGTTTTTCCGCCATTTTTCTCAAATTAAATGACCATTCTAACCATATATACTGTATATCCATATTCACCCATGAAATTCTGATTAAATCTATACTTAAAAACTGATAGAGCATGCAGCCAAATCAGTGAAATATTTCAGTACTCTAAAAAGGGGGTACAACTCAAGATTCAATCTCTTAACCCTGTTTTGACAAAAAAAGTCAAATTTTGCTATTAAATTATAGCTCAAATTCTTTGCTGTTTAGTACAGAAGACACTGTTTTATAGTTCAGCACAAATTGAGTCACCAAACCTGAGCTGCAAAAATCTGGATGATCAGAAGATGGCAACAAAGTTCACATTTTATATATATTTTTATTGCCATCTTGTGGTCTTCTCCATACTTGTACTTATTGGATAAATGGGATAGGAACCTTTGCTAACTTACAGAAAATCACTCCCTATTTTTGTAAAAGAATATGAGTGTTACATTTAATAATATTAAAGCCTTTGTTTAATAATATACATCACTCTACCAACAGCATATTAAGCATCACAATCCAAAATACCGAGAAAAGAAACTATACTATAAAGCTACGATTCAACTTATACTTTGTAAGTATTAAAACTTAGACATTATATAATAGAAAATTGAGATCAATGAGGCAGCAATAACTGCTAGATAAATCTATCACTCTTTTTGAATTTAAATGCTGCAACTACAGATAATAATTTACCTGATTTCTTTTATGTTATTATTGGCTAGGCTTCTTTGAAATGCAAGACACAACTTTTCATACTGAAATGAGAAAGGTCATATTAAATCAGATGATATTTCAATATGTAATACTAATGTCAGAGAGAACCTGGTCTTTTAAGCAGAAGGAGAGAAAAGGCACAAATGTCATTTAGATCAGGTGTAAATCTATTCTATATATTTAATAGAAATATATATTTAAAAGGAAGGTCTCTTTCCAAGGATCTGCACATAATGTGTGACACTTTATCAACCACAGTTTAGACCAAGAGTAGTTTCTTTACTTTCTTCAAAGACAGGCACAGTGATATTTAGGTAAGGCAGAGAGAATATTTACATAAGGAAACTTGAAATGATTTAGACATGATGCTGTAGTATAGTTTCTTTACTAAATGGCAACCAACCAACTGGCCAGTCAGCAGCAGGACTGAATCCAGGAACATATCCCAGCTGTGAGCTCTTGTTTAAGATAGAATTCTATCCCATACGAAACAAAAATAAGTGGATTTGGGGATTGCCAAAATTCCTAACTAATGTATCTGCCTTGTCTGCATAGTAGCAATCGTTTCCAAGATTCTTCATCATATCTGCATACAGATCATAAATTTATAATTTTATGATACATTGGAATAATATGCTCACCAGGAATAGCTGTCATTGCACCAACAAGTTTTTTAAAAAATGAACAGTGCACTTGTATTTCACAATTATTCTCTATTACTCCTCAGCAATCCAACTCAGAGATTGTGGCTTTAAGAGACTTCTGGTTAGCAAATTTCTAAGAAGAATGAAGGGGACTTGTAAGGTATCTAAGCAATTAAGCCAGGCCTTTGCACAATGCAGAATATACAGAGATAGTTATCCAGGCACCAACTATCTTCAATAGATGGTTGTCCAGATTCCTATTATTAACGGTCCATCAGAATGGCACATTTGAGTAGATATTATGTTTAACATCTGTTACCATTTTCATTATTTATTGCACCAAAATTTTAGACATTTAATGGAAGGAAAATAGGTATGAAGGAAGCTTATTTTGCCTGAAGAAAAACTGTAGTGCTGGCTTTAATATTTTATATTTGAAATTACCATAGAAATAATAGTTCTCATTAAAACAAAATGTAATAATTATATCTAAAAGAAACAATATATCAAGGACTTTCCATTTCCTCATTTGATTCTGCAATTTCTATTTTTTAAAACTCAAATTAAGTAACAAACACAGATTTTATTGATATCGTCAACTTGATCTAATGCTATTTCAACTATATTATATTCTCCACATGATTCTTAGAACAATCTCTGATTGACATCAATGGACATATATAATTAGATCTGGGGCGTGATAGTTGAAAAAATCTTTCCAAATAAAAAATGGGTAACATAAGCTTATCTTCAGCTAGTAGAAAGAAATCTAATGTTTAAATATATCTGGATCTATTTAAGAAAACACATACAAGTAGGTGCAATTTAATCCTATATATCATATCAGCAATTCACTGACATATTGGAATACTTTGTCAGCCAATTCATATATAAAATTCTGCAGGTATAACAGAAAACATCATTATATAGGGTTCAAAATCCCACCATCCATATACATGCCAGATTCCTACTCTACTTTAACAAACAATATAATATGAAAATATTGAAAAGGACTTTAGAAATGGCTGACTATGCATTTTACATATTTAAAGTCACATGTTCAACTCATGTTATCTCATGTTCAACTAGAGGATCCCAGGCAATGCAATTCAAAAACACTTCTGCTTTAAAGATTCATAAGAATTGCTGACTGGAACAGGAAATTAGACTCAATCCATATGTTTTAGATAATAATTCCCATATCTTCTGCCATTGACTTTCCTGACTGAAATTTATGGCACTTAAATACAAAATGCTCATAGTGCAATAGGTAAGTTGATTAATCTAGACCACAGGTGTCAAACTGCCAGCCCGTGGGCCGGATACATCATAGCGAAACCGCGCCCACCCCATTGCCGGCAATGGCAAAAAAGTTGTGATGCGTCATGACACGTCATGTGACTTTGCGAGTTTGACATCCCGATCTAGACTGAAGCAAACACTATTAGACAGATGGAATAAGAAGAAAACTGTTTTTTTCTCTAAGAAGTACCCTGAGACATTTTTTCTCATCAATGTATATAATATTTATGTAATATATTCTTCACTAATCAGAAATATTTTTTCAAAATACTGTTAAAAATAGATTTGAAAGGAAAGTTCAGTTGGGAAAAAGAAATAAAGCAAAAATCCCACCTCATTAGCATATTTTGATGCCTCCCATCATTTCTGAAGGCAAAGTCAAAACTCTAGGAACCAATTTCTATTGCTGTAAAAAACAAATGGGCTCTGAAATGTATAAAAATAGGTCCATTTAAATTTTCCTGTAATGCTCCTGCCAGAACTAATTCAGTACCGTAAGTTTTGCTAGGTTGCTAGCCAGTATAAATCTTATTAAATAATTACTAAATCAAAGTATTATACTTGGATACGTGTATCAACATGTTTCCAATAGTCTAGAAAAAAGATTAGAAAGTAGTATTTTTTTAAAAAAACAACAACAGGATTTTCCAATTGATATTCCAAACAACTTACTTCTGGAGAGATGAGCTTGTAAATGGTCTCAGCTAAAGTATGAAGAAATACTCTGTTCTTGCTGATTTTCCTCTGTGGAAGGTTCCCATGAGGGACTTTCTCTCTGCATATGGGCAAAGAAGTCTTAGAGCTGTTGGGCACCTCAGCACATTCTTCCTCATTTTCATCTGGAATGCAACTTTGGTTGAGCAAGGAGAAAGGACATTCTCCAGTAATCTTCAGCTCTTTCAGTTTTGTGCAGAACATGCTGTACAGATCACTGTTATAAAATTGTGTGTATATCTCTATTTTGTGCTTAACGTGCCCCCTCCATTAACCAACAACAGAAGAAAGAGCTAACAGCAGGAATTCAAGGGGCAAATTATTTATGACTGTAAAATCAACTTCCAAAACAACTTTATCTTTATTAGCCTGCAACAAAAGAAGAGAAAAAAGTGAAAGGAAACAAATAGTATTATATTATACTTTGAATTATATTAAAGAACCAGCATAATTTCTATGTTGCTCAATTTTTGATATCTATTTTTTTGGACATCTTATTAAATGACACAGTAATTGATGACATAATAAGCTGCAGGCACATGAATTCTTACATTCTTACTTTCTTTTATTTTTCAAAAGAAAAAGATATGAAAACCTAGTTTTCACTGGGTTGCCAAGAAACGGAGAGATATTTCTGGAACAATGAAGCAGAATCAAACTAGTTAAATCAATTTGGGCGACAATATGGGAAAACAGTTCTGAAGACAGTCAATTGTATGAACACTTTAATTTTTATATATATATCATATCTCAAATGGGTAAACTCTGCTTTTATTGCTTCCTAAGGCAAAAGATTTTGACTGATTATGGATTGGATGCAGGTTGAAAAAAAATTACATGATAAAACATGATGGCCTTTGGGAAACTAGTTGCCTTACCAACAACCAACTTCATAATCAGAATAAGAAATGGAAGGGATCTTGTAGGTCATCTAGTCCAACCTCCTGCCCAAGCTTCATATAGATTGCTGTAATATTTATTTATATTTTCTTGGTGCTTTCCTTTTAAGTTATGAAGATAAACTTCTTTAGCTGGTATCATCATATCCTGACTTTAAAAGGCAGCATATAGGCAGCCCCCACATAATTAATCCGGGTTAGACATGTGGGAAGTCACCCCCTCAAAGAAGGAAATATTAAAAGGGCACCACCTCTGTGGTGTCCTCATTTTGTTGTGATTGGTCTTATCTGTTTCTTTAACAACTGCAGTAGTAATGTGTTTTCAAACACACACATACACACACACACACACACACACCATTCAGAATCACACTGAGTCTACTAACTTCAGTAAAGCTCCCCAGGCTGATTCTTGCTCTGTGGCACTGCAAATTCCAAGGGGGAGGGAATCAAGCCCCCTCAGGTGATTTGCAATTCATATGCTGTCACTGAGGAGGGAGCAGAAAAGAGATCTCCAAAACCCAAACCCTGAATATCTTGCACTGGTGGACTCAGAGTGCGAGTCCTAGGTTGACTGTGTGCAATTTAAGAAAAATTAATAGATTGGCTTGCCCACTGGCTCACCTCAATTGGACATCACAAACCTGGATTCACTGAACTAAGAGTTAAGGCAGGAAACAACCCTTGAAAATGGGCAACCAGTGGTTATGTATTGAGGCAAAACATGGCTGTGAGGAGTTTTGGGGAATGTGCTAACCTGACTCAACGTGACATCCAACATTTGAAAATAATTGGCACAGAATATTGGAAACTATAAATTTCTTTTCCACCTAAAAGAACTTTTGCCCTGGCTTTAGACCAGTGGTTCTCAACCTTTTTAATGCCGTGACCCCCCAACCGGTTGTAAGTCGAGGACTACCCAACCGGTCGTAAGTCGGGGACTACCCAACCGGTCGTAAGTCGAGGACTACCCAACCGGTTGTAAGTCGAGGACTTTCCCTTCCCGGGAGCACCGCGCATGCGTGTTGCCGCCCCCTACGCCGGCTGAGGCATAGCTGGCAAGGGGCAGCGATGGCGCAGGGCGACCACCGGCTGGGCCACCAGCTGGCCCAGCACAAGGGAGGTAAGGCATGTGCCGGGCCCCACGTGCGCCAGCAACCCTCCCTGCGCTCGCCGGCCTCTCACCTCCCACCCCTGGCCCTCTTTTACTTACATTTTTAGTAGTTGCTCAGCAGGGAGGGATGGAAGCTTCCAGACAGCTCGCCTTCGCTGCAGACAACTTGCAGCACCGTTTGCAGAATGGGACTTTTGGCGGGCTCAGCAGGGCAGACAGCCTGGACAATTCCTATTGGCTTTTGAAAGCCAATAGAATTAGACTCTATTCAAGAGAGTCTATTCTATTGGCTTTCAAAAGCCACAGAATAAAAGGGAGTAGCACAGCTAAGGAAAAGGGGGAAAAATGGGGGACTGCATTGTTTGGCGACCTCCGTGAAATGGTCGTTCGACCCCAAATAGGGTCCCGACCCACAGGTTGAGAACCACTGCTTTAGTAACTGCTTGAAGTTACGAAGACACTGAAAAAAGTAATTTACAACTAATTTTCATACTTACGACCATTGCAGCATCCCCACAGTCTTGTGATCAAAATTTGGGCACTTGGTAACTGGCATGTATATTTATGATTGCAGAATCCCAGGTTCATGTTGTCACCATTTGCAATCTTTGCAGATGGCTTCTGATGAGCAAAGACAATTGGGAAAGCCAGATTCACTTAATGACTGTGTGATTCACTTAACTGCAGCAAGTCACAGACCCACAGGTTGAGAACCGCTGCTTTAGACCTTCATGGTTGAAAGGCTCCCCTTTTGGGAGCCACTGCAGGGATCTTTTTCTGCTGCCTCTATTAGTGTCTTCTTCTTCTCTCTCTCTCTCTCTCTCTCTCTCTCTCTCTCTCTCTCTCTCTCTCTTTTGCATTAATAGTTTAAAAGCTTGTTCATCAAGTCTCCCTGACCAGAACAATTATAATTTTGTGCCAGTAAAAGTGTGTTATCCACATTCTTATGGCACAAAGGGGGGGATTTGTTGGAAATCAGCCCCCCCCCCGAGAAGGAAATATTAAAAGGGCAGAATATTATATTTCCTCAAAAGATCTTAAAGAGGCAGAAAAGCATGCCCAGTTTTTCTTAATAGTCCCAAGTCTCCCTCCCCCAAGCAGAAACCAGCTCTGTAGAAATGCAGATGTAATAATCCACACAGGAAGGTTGGAGCCCTCCAGCTAGATGCTTAGGAAGACAAAGACACCTAAAATCTACATACCCCACCCAAACTCTAAGACAGGACATAATAGGGGCACACTCAGACTCAGGTCAAAGTACATGACACCGGAAATACAAAGCCTCAAACAGGAACAGGAAACAACTCCAAACAAAAGCCCAAGAGGGTACAAAAACCCACTTCCTACTACATGTGCTCACTCTTTTCTTCCAGAGCCATCTTTCTGTCTGGCTCTCTTCTTTAATAAACTATAACCTTCTTTCTAAAGGAGTCACCATGTTGTTTATTCCCAGCTTGGACTGGACCCTGATGAAGACTTTTCCTTCAACAGATATATAGGGCAAAGTCCAAATGGGCAGGATTTGGAGTAAAAGTGCTCGTATTCTTTATTGGCTATAATTTACAAATCTTTGTCATACCATAAAATATACCTCTAGTCTAGAAACAGTTCACCTGATACTAATTTGGGTCAAATACGATATATAATGGAATTCACTTCTGAACTCAGGATGAAGAACAAATATGCTGTCAGGTGAATTAGATTGGAATTCTATAGTGACTTCCCAAAATCTATATATGACCTTCTATTTTTTCTTGCCCTCAAGAATAATCTGATTATTATCTCTAGCACTCTCCCAGAGGAAAAGGTACGATAAAGAAATAGGAGTAAAATATATTGCTATGAGCTAGTGTGAAGTGTGTTGCTATGGAAAGAAAAAAAACCCCAATCATATATATTCCTTCCCAACTTTTATCAACTGGGAATTAACCTCTGTCATAGCAGTGAAAATCAGCTTGTACTTTGAGGGGGAAGAATAGATGGCTGAGAAAATGGATGTAATGGCTGAAGGCACGTGAAAGTTTCCTTACGGACTACAGAAGCATATAAGACAGAAAATTACTTTTACCCAGCTCTGCCTCCAGATTTCATTTCTGTGGTTCCATCAGCATTTAAAAATGATTAGTTTGTATACAGCTTTGCAGTTTTCCAAGAGATTTTGTAGCATTACAGGGCAGTTGACTGGGACACAACTGCATGATGCTACAATCTGTGGTGTTAAAAAGTAATGAAAAATAATGTGCAGTAACAGAAAACATGTAAAATTAAAACCTTGTTGAAATATATCTGAACAATTAAGTATTCTATTTACATAGGTACAAATGTCAAATTAATTAAAGTGCATATATAAACAGATTGCAGGTTGGGATATTAGACATTAAAGCCTAGAGACGTTGAAACTCAAGTCTTCTTAACTCCTTAGTGACCAAGCAGGTACTAAGAAATTGAGGAATATTAACTGTCTAGAAGAGGGGTATCCAATCTTCTGGACTTCAACTCCCAGAATTCCCTGAACTAGGAAAAGTGGCCTTCAATGGCTGCCTGGAAATTATCATTATAGAATAGAATAGAAAGTAGCTAGGCCCTGATTGGATCTCCATTGTATTTAGAGTGTATTTATACTGTATTTAAACTCCATTTCAACTCCTGCCAGAGCTGCTGGGACGTGCTATATTGCATCAACTGCTGCTAGAGCTGTAAGTTTTGGGAGAATCCACCAGGATGTTAGCGGCCCGCATGCCTAATGGTGCGCGAATTATATAACTAAAAATCATAAACAGCAGCAGTACATTCAGGGCAAGTGTGTCTGAGATTCCCTGTATCTAAGAATGTCTGGTTTAGTTTAGTGCAACACTTGCTTTGCAGCTATCTTTCGCAGTACCCTTTTCAAACTTGGAAACTGTCCTATCTGTAAACAAATCACTCGTCTACAAGGACAGATCATTTACCTTGGGTCTGTAATCCATACTCTTCGGGCAGAAATTAGGCGTCCAGTTCAGCCCCTCTATTGTAGTAAGCCTCCTTACTATCAGCCCCCTTTACCACAAAGATCCTGCAGGAGAAGGGCAGTGTGGACAACCGTGGGATCTGGCAGGGTGAGAGCTGTGAACCATAAACACAAAGCTTTCGCTATGTCCCTGCACAACAGTTACAGTGCCCTTGCTGACCTTAATAGGGACATTAAGGTAAAGGTATTTGTGAAGATAACTCAAATAAGCAGGGGATTGTGGTCCGAGATGAAGAACTAGATTTTGACAGGGAGAAATGTGAATCAGGTATTACACATCAGTCATGCAAGAACAGAAAGGCACCCAAAAAGAGAAGCTACCTTTTGGTAGGTAATTCAATTATAAGGGATGTAAATTTAGGAAAGGACACAGAGGCGTCAAAAGAGGTCAGGTGTCTTCCAGGTGTTACTACCAGTAGGGACAAGAAGCGTATTTCTAAAATAATCAAGAATGGCAGCAAGGACTGTGATGTGGAGGCTATTGTACATCTCGGCACTAACGATCTGTCCCAAAAAGATGTACTCTCTGTGCAGAAAGATTTTCAGAGCTTGGGGAAGGAACTTAGCAGAATAGGCTGTAGGCTTACTTTCTCAGAGGTTTTACCAGTGTATAAGGAGCAAAATGGAAAAGGCCAGCGCATAGCACAATTCAATATGTGGCTAAAGGAGTGGTGTAAAGGGGAAGGCTTTGGATATATTAGTCACGATGTCTGTAGCTGGTCCAATCAAAAGATGTACAAAAGGGGCGTTGTCTTACCTGAACTCCTTTTCTCAGCATGATGATGTAGAATCCACCGGTGGGTAATATCAGCCTTCCTGCTCAGAATAGACTAAGTCAGAACTTTAGTCACGCCTCCCTCTGGGAGTGTCCTCCAGTTTTTGACGAGGCATGACGAAGTCTGATGCAATGGCTCCAATGAACATGACACCTGCCTTGACTGCCTTAAGGGAGGGTGTGGATTCTACATCATCATGCTGAGAAAAGACGTTCAGGTAAGACAACGCCCCTTCTCCAGCATGATGAATGTAGAATCCACCGGTGGGACATACCAAAGCTCCTTCATGTCCCTACGGGGAGGGAAGTCTAGGCTTGTGTGTCCTGAGAAGAAACTACTTGCTGCAGAACTCTCCTACCCAACGAGGCTTCTGCCGCAGCAACCCTATCAATCTAGTAGTGTTTCACAAAGGAAGAAGAGGAGGACCAGGTCGCTGCCCTACAACCCTCCTCGACCGATGCCTGGGTGGACCAGGACGCAGACGCAGCTGCACTTCTCGTTGAATGAGTGGTGATATGCGTAGGAACCGGAAGTGACTGAGAAAGGTAGGCTCTAGCAATGCATGCCCTGATCCATCTACCAATGGTCAAAGAGGATACTTTCTGACCCATGGCAGAGGGCTGAAAAGACACGAACAAGGCCTCCGATTTACAGAAAGCCAAGGTCCGCTTAACATAATGACACAGAGCCCTGCGCACGTCTAACTTATGCCATTGTCTCTCCAGACGATGCAAAGGATTAGGACAAAAAATCTGGAAGAACTATGTCCCGTGACCTATGGAACACCCTATCCTCAAAAAAGGTACACAAGTCACTCCGAACTGAGAGTGCGGCCAATTCCGAAATCCGTCTGGCTGATGTAATAGCCACCAAGAATGCTACCTTTAAGGAAAGGAAATGAAGAGAACAAGAACTGAGGGGTTCGAACGGTGGAGAGGTTAGAGCTTGTAGCATCTTAGGTAAGTCCCAAGAGGGATAACGATGGACCACAGGTGGTCTGGCGTTAACCGCTTTTAGAAAGGCACTTACAGCTGGATGATGTGTTAAAGGGACCAGGTTGTCATAGGTAAGGACCATTTGCAAGGCTGCAACCTGTCTGCGGATGGTATTAGACGAGAGCCCCTTATTCATACCTTCCAAAAGATACTTCAATATGTTAGGAATGGTGACAGATAATGGCCTGAGCTGCTGTTTAGTGCACCACGTGCAGAAGTTCTTCCACGTGGCATCATAAATCCTATTGGTCGAGAGGCACCTTGAAGCTTGGATCAACAAGATCACCCCTGACGAATAGGATTGCCTAGCTAAACTTTCCCGCTCAAGTGCCAGGCGGCCAACTGGAGTCACTGTGGATCTGGATGTTGAAGTTTCCCTTGGTTGAGAGCTACTCGGTCTGGGGGAATCCTCCACAGTGGCGAGAGAGATAGATCCATAAAGTCAGCAAACCACGGATGCCTTGGCCAACGTGGAGCAATTAATATAATCTCCGCCTCTTCCTGAATCAGTTTGCGAATGGTTGTCTGCAACAACGGGAGGGGAGGAAAGGCATAGAGCATACCCCTCGGCCATTTGCACCAGAGGGCGTCCGTTTCCTCTGCCCCCCTTGTCGGAAACCTGGAGAAGAACCTGAGAAGTTGGGCATTCATCGGAGAGGCAAAGAGATCCAGATGTGGATGGCCAAACCTGACCGAGATGTCCCTGAACAGTGCCGATTCCAGTTGCCACTCTGAGTGGTCTACTGTGACCCTGCTCAGGGAATCTGCTTGCTGATTTGCTTCCCCCGATATGTGTTCCGCCCAGAGTGGACTCTGCCCATAGACCCAGCTCCAAGGCCTCCT